AGCCAACAAATACGGAATAAATAAATAAATATAACTGAACGAGATCAATGGTTGTTGCAGCTCATTTTACGTGGCAATCTCATCACTGTCTACACTGACTCGTCGTAAGTGATAATCAGCAATACGACAAAGAACACACTTGGGCTGGGGATAGAATAATATATTTAATATTGAAATGTGTGAATAACACAATAATAACAGTGTCTGCAAGGCTGAGCCATGTCAAACCGGTCAATTGTTGCCGCGTTCATTAATGCTGACATTCCTTGTTAAATGTTGACTATGAATTTTCTCAGTTATTTCATGCTCAGCCTCGAGGATAGTGTGGTTGGAACCAATCCCACTACAAACTCTTTATTTTCTATTCCCCTTGTGCTATATCCTTGAAAGTATACCCATGCATCGTGAACCTTCAAACATACATACAAACTCAGTATCGTTGACTTATCAGCAATGCCACATAACTACAAAAATACACGAATAACCCATGGATCTACTATATACCTTCATGGCTACTTAAGAATGGAGGTTCGGACACCTAATGACACTGTTCCAAGTCTCTAGCTTACCTAGCAGCAGTAGTTATCCCTTGGATGCACGAAAAACTACCCATGCATCGCTTCGCTGTATGGTCTCAAAATCAAACAGGTCTAACTATCATCCTAGTAATATTGTATGTCATCTCACGAGTGTTGAGGGTTGTGATAAACACCAGATATATGACATGCTTCCTTTTTCATCTACAACTAGTTTTATAAAACCCCTCTCACACATAATCTATAAACATGAATTCTTCACTCACATAGCCAATATAAAGGTAACAGGTCTACTGTCATGGTATTACACTTCGACATTCAGGAAGAATTTGTTAACTCGACAGTTAATACGATTGACCTGCTTGACGACAAGCAGTGGAGTGTAAACAATACGTTAAACTAACCCAGGAAAGTTCAACTCAGTATAGACAAACTATGAAGACGCAATCAACCTGAATGAAGTTCAGATGCAAGTGGTTAAGATAAATGTCGTGCTTTGGAGCCTCTTTCTATTGACAGTGATGTAGTGTACTTAAACTATTACTCTTTGAAAACTATACCGTCGACGCACAGTGATACAAAAACACATTAGGCATATTGTCAAAACCGATTACCTCATATGTAACACTTCACATTAACGGCACACTGTTATCCATAATAACTCCACGAGCCATACAGTTTCAGTAATTACTCTCGTGTTGATTTGTTTAGACTCTCTCCAAGTGCCAAACTTCCAAACTCAATCCCCTCAGTGAGTACATGCTCACCATCAAGGATATGTGATAACCGCTTCTTATTGTTCCACTATCGTCAGAAATCTATTGACCAGCAAACTTTGACGTTAAGTGCAATGATTTGAATTCACCAATGTTTGTGACTCACAACATTTTTGTCTCAAGTTCTCTGTGAACTCCGCCTGTAGCTCTAATAGGGTTACTGCCGGTCCCAAGCCCGGGTAAAGGAGGAGGGTTAGGCATGGGGTTAGCGTCCCCACCCCGTAGAAAACTAACTCGCTAAAAAAACGTTCACCAGAAAAAATAATCCAAACCATTTTAACTCTGCCCTGGGAGTTAGAAGGTCTTCATTTAGAAGAATTATGACGCTTCGTGGTGAAAGCCGAGCTACTTCGGAAGCCACGGAAGTCATTTTAAATACTTAGACTCTGACCAAGCACAATCTGAATAAATAGAAGCAAACAATCAAGTGAAGAGGAGCATTAGATCCGACAAGAAGAAATACGTGGAAGAACTAGCAACGACGGCAGAAAAAGCTGCTAGAGAAGGAAATATGAAACAACTTCACGATACAACGAAGAAACTAGCAGGGAAATACAGTAAACCAGAAAGACCGGTCAACAACAAGGAAGGCAAGCCAATCACCGAAATTCAACAACAGCGTAACAGATGGGGAGAATACTTCGAGGAACTCCTGAATAGGCCGGCTCCAATGAATCCACCGGACATCGAAGCAGCACACAGAGATCTTCGTATAGATGTCAATCCACCAACGACGGAAGAAATCAGAATGGCCATCAGACAAATCAAGAGCGGGAAAGCAGCAGGACCCGACAATATACCAGCTGAAGCACTGAAATCAGACATCGAAGCAACTACAAACATGCTTTACCTTCTATTCAAAAAGATTTGGGAGGAGAAACAAGTGCCGATGGACTGGAAAGAATGACACCTCGTCAAGATTCCAAAGAAAGGAGACCTGAGCAAATGTGAAAACTACAGAGGCATCACACTACTGTCAATGCCAGGGGAAGTCTTCAACAGAGTGTTGCTGAACCGGATGAAGTAGACGCCCAACTTCGAGATCAACAAGCTGGATTCCGTAAGGATCGGTCGTGCACAGACCAAATTGCGACACTACGGATCATCGTCGAACAACCAATTAAGTGGAACTCGTCACTGTACATCAACTTCATTGATTATGAAAAGGCATTTGACAGTGTAGACAGGAGGACGTCATGGAAACTTCTTCGACACTACGGAGTTCCTGAGAAGTTTGTCAATATTATCCGGAACTCATACGACGGACTACAGTGCAAAGTAGTGCATGGAGGACAGCTGACAGATGCATTCCAAGTAAGGACCGGAGTCAGACAAGGCTGTCTACTCTCTCCCTTCCTCTTTCTTCTGGTGGTCGACTGGATTATGAAGACCTCGACATCTGAAGGAAAACACGGAATACAATGGACAGCTCAGAATCAATTAGACGATTTGGACTTCGCAGATGACCTAGCCCTCCTATCACGTACACACGAACAGATGCAGATGAAGACAGCCAGTGTAGCAGCAGTCTCTGCATCAGTAAGCCTCAGCATACACAAAGGGAAAACCAAGGTCCTCAAATTCAAAGCGGAAAACAGCAATCCAATCACTCTTGATGGCGAAACTCTGGAAGATGTAGAGTCCTTCACATACCTAGGAAGCATCATCGATGAACAAGGAGGTTCAGATGCAGACGTAAAGGCGAGGATCGGCAAAGCAAGGGTCCCATTCCTACAACTGACGAACATAGAGGACTCAAAACAACTTTCAACAAATATCAAAGTGAGAATCTTCAATACGAACGTCAAGGCAGTTCTACTGTATGGAGCTGAAACTTGGAGAACTACAACAACCACAATCAAGAAAGTACCAGTATTTATAAATAGCTGTCTACGCGAGATACTCAACATCCATTGGCCGGAGACTATCAGCAACAGCCTTTTGTGGGAGAGAACAAACCAGCTTTCAGCTGAAGAAGAAATTAGGAAAAGACGATGGAAATGGATAGGACATACATTACGCAAATCATCAAACTGCATCACGAGACAAGCCCTAACTTGGAATCCTGAAGGAAGGCGGAAAAGAGGGAGGCCAAAGAACACATTACGTCGGGAAATAAAAACAGATATAGAAAGGATAAATAGCAACTGGAAGGAGCTGGAAAGGATTGACCAGGACAGGGTTGGATGGCGAATGCTGGTGAGCGGCCTATGCTTCTTCACGAGTAACAGGCGTAAGTAAGTAAGTAAAAGTGAGATAAATAATCAATGATATTTCAGCCGTTATCCTATTTTTCTAAGTTGGTTCACTATTCTATTATGACAAGCTATCACATACAAATGCAGACTCCTGCATCACGACTAGATAGCCAGCACTTGACTAAAAAGAATGATAAACATAAACACAGAGAAGTAATGATAATGACGAAGTTAGATATACTTTAGGCACCTCACGCACTGTTAAGTTTGCACATGAAGCTGTTTGCCTAGATGACCAAGGTTCATGTAGTAATATCACTACTATTTACCTAACGTCAACATAAATAATCCACGCTTAAACGAATTCCAGAGGAAACCGAAGTATTTGTCCGTGTACAACATAAATCTCGGTAAACAGCCAAAAACAGAATTATGTTCAGAGTAAGACGAATAAGGCATGAAATAAAACACAAAATGGTTTGAAATATATCTAGAAGATATGTGTGTTACGTACTCCTCCTGGGTATCGAAATCAATTATTGCGAACTATCATCCTTCTCGATAAAATTTATTAACTAACACAACGACGAAATCAAATACAGCAAAGCACGTAACGTCAAGAAGGGATAAACTTCGACATGCTCCACGAACGTTCTTATGATTTACAACGAACAAATCCATCGAATAATTTAGCATGAACTGAAAATATGTGACATAAAACATTAAACATAAGAAACAGTACGAATAACCAGATGTAGATCAACAACGTAGATAATCTATGTCGAATGATTGGAGGCCTACTTGAGTCAGACGGGAATGTTATGACGAAACAGCTAACTTCGAAGTCACACTTTGCGGTCAACATCTAACGTGGATTATCCCTTCGATACATCAAGGTACTATGGCTGCTTTGAAGACTGTATAACACAAAGGACTTTATTAAGGAAATATATCAGTAAGAATGAGTACAGAGAAGATAGCGAGATCATCACCTCATGCACCAGTTCATGACATACGATCCACTGATGAACGTTGGTTGTCCTTGACTTTGACAGGGATCGATGATCTGTTTGATATTCAATGACCCAACTGCCGGATGATTTGGCTAGGGCTCTGTGACATTTCACTGGCCCTACACCGATACTCACATTTGTGTGAGAGGTAGTGCTCACACCAGTACGCCCAACTGTCCACCATTTTTATAACCACCTGGGAAATATCTCGAAGGTCAGGCTCTATGGCATAAATTCCGACAGCTGGCTTAAGTTCCCTACAATACTGAAGTAGCCTACACAACCCAATCACAATTGAACTCAACGTTGAATTTGATGTAAGTGAGGATCTATGGCTGACTTCAAGCTCAAAACGCAGGTCAATGCAACATAAAAGTACAATTAAAACACAATCGTGTAGTGCGTTTAACTGTTTCGAACAATCAGTTTCCAGATCAGTTGTTCAGTGGCGGGAACTGGTTGACCCTGAGAGTAGTCATGTTTCCCATTGATTGGGTGTGCGCTACTGCTCGCTTGGAACCTATAGATTATGTTCGAAAGCCACAGGTTATCCTACGCTTAATTATTGTGGTAATTTCATTCCATGTATAAGAAAATAAATGCATTTAGATATTAGCAGTTGTCAATATTGCAATTGTACATAACGGCTGCTATATTTATGGGAAGTGCTTGTTTAATGAAGATCAGGCATCTTGTGGATATAGTTTGCTTCTTTCTTCGTCAACATTTATTCTTTGCCTCGCCTATCTTTGGTTGGATTTAATAGTGGACAATGTTTCGAGCATTGACATACGTTTGCGAATCGCTAAATTTGACGTAGTATTGTCAGGTAATTCTTAGATTTTGATTGCACTCGGTATAACAACAATTCACTGCCTTTCAGTCAAAGTTTTCGGCCAGTTTATTGCTCGATTTAGCTGGTGAGACTATTAAGACATACGTAAGAGTAAAGTCCCTTAAAGATTCACAACTTCAAAGTGACTGTAGTGTTTGATAGCGACTTCCAACAGCGGAATTTATTGCTCAAGATTCATATAAAGCGCTTCATTCTTCATATCATTGTATGCGCAGATTAGGCTAACAACCAAGTAGGTTCTAAGTTACATCGGTCGGTAGCTAGCATTACTGCAACTTCGTTTGTTTCTTAATCTATTCAACGAATTGTGGTCCTCGAGGGTACAAGTGACATAGTTTAATCTTCAGTAATCAGAACAATAAGTCGGTTGACCATTGTTAATCCTTACAGTCAGTCAGCTACAACATAGGACCAGGCACATATATACATCGGTTCAAGTTGCCACACCTCATTAGCACAACAAAATGAACACCTAATTCATAGAAGTAGTCACTTCAATGGTAGTAGTGTATGAAAGAAAGATTTTTTATAAGGATATAGTACGGGAAGGAAGAATTAGTTCGTAGAAAGAAAGATATAAAGCAATTTTAATCTCTTAGTTTGACGGAAGACAAAGAGTGTATATACCTACGTCATTGTGATCAATTCTGAGGCATGTTACCCGGAGACTCCAATCACTAGTTACGTTAGTCGCGCGGACCCCAACCAAGTAGTCTGTATCTACCAACATGACTCAACCTAGAAGTTAGTGACTCTATGGACTGATGCCATGTTTTGGTTTGGCCGCTCCTAATCTTCCATCTGTCTCCAACCCTAGTCAGCATTTCGCGTCGTGGTAGTCGGTGGTTGGGCATGTGTACTACGTGGTCCAACCATCTCAGTCGATGAAGATTCACAACCTCATTAACTGATTTACAATCATTCCCTAATACCTTGCGTCTAAACTCACTATTACTTACCCGGTGATCCCAAAAGATGCTGGCAATATTTCTAAGGCATCTGAGGTCAAATACTAGTAACTTACGAGTATCTTCTACTCTTACTAGTCACGTTTCGCAGCCACAAAGTAAAACAGAACGAACTGCTGCGTAGTATACTCGTCCCTTAACTGACAGATGGATATTTCGCCAACCCCATAGGTGGCGTAAGTTTGCGAAAGCCAAAAAAGCTTTCTGAATCCGTGCTGAGATTTCTCCAGACACTAACGCATTGGGGCTGATCACACTTCCAAGATAAGTGAAGTTGTCGACGTGTTCGACCACTTCACTCCCTATCCTTAGTTCAGGTGTTGACGCAGACCAGTCGTGAAACAACAACTTGCATTTAGAGGGAGAGAAGCGCATTTCAAACATTCTGGCATTGTTGCTAGGTGCTACCAGAAGACTGCACTTTATCAGCGTCTTCACCAAACAGGACTATGTCATCTGCGTATTCTAAGTCGATAGGTGGACCTCTTAGAAGGAGATCAATGCCCGAGAATTCAGTCGACGAGAACATTATTTCCATCAGTATGTCTATGATGAATTTGGACAAAAATGAAGATAGTGGACAGTCTTGATGAATACCACTTGAGACTGCAAAATCAGATGACAGTTCGCCATAAGCTCCCAGTCTCAGTGATAGACAGTCGTTTAGAATCATGTGATTCCTGGTTGTGTAGTGGGATAATATTAAATTCTAGATTTACTTTGGTTTTTATGGTTCGTGTTGATAGTTGTAGGTCAGCCGAATTCCACTACTCATCGTTCAATGAAGGATCTAACCTCTGTTTCGGCAGTAATATTTTTGATAGGTGTTGCTTCTGGCCATCGTGCAAAAATGTCTACACACGTTAAGAGGTATCTGTGCCCATCTAAATCTGGCAAGGGTCCCAACACATCACATTGAACATGGTTGATTCGTGCGCTGGGAGCTGTAAAAGATCCTAAAAGATATTTGATGTGTCCGATCACCCCAGAGTTTGGCAGTTTGCACAATAGTGTTCCTATTTTCTCACGTCTTCATTCATACCAAGCCAGCAATATTGTTCTATTATGAACACTTGGATGTGTACGTTCGTGCAAAGTATTGGAGATGTTACCTCGATAACACTTCAGCATGATTGTCACAAAGTAATGTTTCCTTACTTTTTACCATCTGATCCATAATTTTGGGGTTATTGGAGATTATTCGTGCTGAAGCTGCGCGAGATTAAGAGGATCGATTCGTCGGAAGCTGTTCAGAGAAGTTATGTGATACAAAGTGTTGTATATCTTAAGTGAGCGGTGAAATGTGATCCAGTTCTCGAGACTCTCTAGAGGAGTACTTGTCTGAAGATGAGCTTAACAAAAAAGTAAGAGGTTTATGGTCGGCGAAAAGAGTGTACTCTCGACCTTCAGCAGTGTTGAATGTGTCGTACGGCACAATACATGGCTAGAAGTTCCCTACCGAAAATGCTATACCTGAATTCGGTTTCTAGCGAACGTCTTGATAAGAGTGCCAATTCTATTGTTGTAAGACTCCTCAATTGCCGTGTTCAATGCGTCTACCGTGATACCAATGGGCGCTTTGGTGTCCTGGTATGCAAGCATGTTTGTATTTGCGGTGAGTTCCTAAGTTGTGGAGAATTCTTCTCTTGCATTATCGTCCAAATGGATGGATTTCGCATTTCCATGAAGTTGGTCGATCAAGGGTCTCAAGGGAGACGCGCAATTCAGTATGAATGCTTTCGTTTGAGAACAGGGTCAAGATGATGGAAAGGAGTTTTTCTGTCCGGATTTCAGACCATGCAGTCGTCTAAATAAACACACACGAAGAAACCTCGAAAAACGTCATTGATCAATCCCTGGAAAACTTGTACAGAATTTCTTAGGCCAAAAGTCTTATGCAAAAATTCGTAGTGTCTGACCAAAATGATGGTAGCGGTTTTAGGAATATCGTCAGCAGAGGCGCTGAAATCAGAAGTAGTAGTAACTGTATTCACATTCTCTTCAGCAAAATTTACGATGATGAACAAGTAATAACAAACTGGAAAAAAGGGCACCTGATCGAGATATCAAAGAAAGGCTATCTCATCTAGTGTAATAACCACAAAGGTATCATTCTTCTCTCAATACCAGGAAATTCTTGAACAGGGTGTTGTTACACAGAATAAAGGAATCCGTAAACACCCAACTTGAAACCAACAGGCTGTATTCTGTAAGGGTCGATCGTATCCAGACCAAATTACAACACTACGGATCATTGTGAAACAATCAATTGAATGGAATTCACCATTCTACATCAAGTTCATTAACTATGAGAAAGCGTTTATTAGCGTGAACAGGACAACACTATGGAGGTTTTTTCGACACTGCGGCGTGCCTGAGAAGGTAGTCAATATCATAGGGAATTCTTATGGGTCCGTTCCAATTTCTTTAATTAATTCTAATACTAATAAGTACATTCCAGATCATACAGAGTCTATATCTAATACACAGTCGGAAAGACACGTCTTGAACCTAGAGAGAAGTACGATCGACTACAGAAACTTGGTTTCCTATTCAAACTGTGGTGGTTATGCTATTTGAATGGACTGTTGACTGATCAGATAATTGTTGTTAGACAGTTAAATGCAGAAAGTCCGAAAGAAACGTGGTACATAAGGTAAAAATCACTCGCCTCATGTGAACTGTACACATTTTCATAAAAAAACTTGCCAGACGGATCTAACAGTTTCAGTTTCCAAAGGACAGGAGGCTAAGTGGCCCACAATAGTCCTGACAGTAGTGGTCTCTCAGTTGGTCGAACTGCCTTTTGAAATAGTCAACTGATGGAGCCTCAATCATGTGTTAAGGTGATGAATGCCGCTCGTTGATGATTCGATGGGAAAGTCTATAGTCAACTGACAAGTAATCTGTCTTGAGTTTGTGAACTTTTTGGAGTGTCCTTGTAAACTTTGTTTTAGAAAACAAGAAAAATGAGGCCATATTAGATGCAAATTTATCACTAAGTAATTTGAAAACTGTTATCACGTCACTTCTGGTTCTTCAATATAACAATCGGAATAGGCTTAGTTTAGCCAGTCGAGCATCATACGGGAACTTCGCTATTTCCGGAATCAGCTTAGTCGATGTTCTCTGAACCTTTTCCAAAAGCTCAGTCTTTCTTAAACAGGGGCTAGTCGCTTGTAGGAAATACTCAAGTTTGAAACGCACGAATACTGTATACAAAGTCAAAAAGGTTTCAGCGTCGACATGGCTAAAGGACCTGCGTATTAACGATGAGGCTCTAAAAACTTTGGCGGCTATCGCACGGCAGTGTGCAGCAGTTTCTAAGTTTTGGCTGACAGTGACTCCTAAGTCATTGTGTGTCTGGTCAACAGGTAGCTCAGTGTTATTCATTATGTACGTATCTGTACCTTGATGACCAATATACATCACAATACACTTGGAAGTATTCATCTGCAACTGCCAAGTTTGAGACCATTCAGATAGTTTCTCCAGGTCATTTTGGAGTTCTAAGCTATCACCTTTGCTTTTTATCGCTCTCCATATCTCAACATCTTCGACACATAACAAGACGGATGATTATAGGGGAGGAGGAAGGTCATTAACATACAAGGGAAATAACACTGGCCCTCAAACTGTACCCTGAGGCACTCCGTTGAGCACAGTCTCCCACCTAGACAGCTTGGAGTTCACTCGTACTATTTGTTGGCGCCCAAATAGAAAGTCTTTTAACAAATTAGTAAATTACCACTGACTCCGACATTCCCTAACTTATATCACAGTCGGTTGTGAGGAACTTTGTCAACAGCCTTGCCGAAGTCAATGTAGGCTACACCTATAAGTGACTTTTGGTCTTTCAGAGCGTACCAACTTTCACGAGCCACTAATAAGTTAGTGAGACATGAATAACCCTATCTAAAGCCATGTTGCTTTTCCGAAAGAACCCGTCTTTCATCGAGGGACGTATAAAACTCCTTCCGAATAATCTTCTCCAAAATTTTTATAACTACGCTGAT